CTGGGGAGGTTGCACACTGGTCAACCGTTCAAAACAAGGACAGTGAGGCTTGCAGTCTTGGAAACCTACGGGGGCAGTTCCACCCTGTCTATAGAATCAGCTCAGTGGCAATGAAGCCAGCTCGCACCAGGCTCAGACGGGGGCCCATGACAACAGGAGGGGTAGCTCCTCAGCCTCCCTTCCTCCATCCTGCAGGACTTCCTGAAGCTTGGGGCCCAAGACAAGCTCAGGGGTGGCAGGCACAGTTTACCGCTTGGTTGTACAGCTGACTCGATGGTGGAGGCAGGAACGGAGGGCTGCCCCAGCCACCAGCTGGGAGCATAGAGACCAGGTCGGCACAGAATTCCACTGTCTGCCCCGAGAACTGAAGGGATGTCAGGACTTTAAGCAGCCAGGCCGAGGACCTCCACAGCTTGGTCCCACCTGACTGCACGGCTTCAACGTCGCTCACCCAGTAGGCCTCAGTTTTGTTTCTGGCACCTGCTCAAGGTCCTTCCCTCTCAAACGTCTGTTCCCGCATCTGGACAGTGGAATGAGAATTCTGCCTCCCGAGGGGGAGCCCTCGTGGTGTGCTGGGTGACATGGGGGGCTGCTAACTATGAGGTCGGCAGTTCAAAACCACCAAGTGCTCTTCAGAAGAAAGACGAGGCTTTCTGCTCCCATCAAAACGGACAGCCTGGGAAGCACACCGGGCAGTTCTACTCTGCCCTCTTCAGTCACTGTGTCTTGGAATCAACTCAGTGGCAGAGAGTTTGGGGTTGTTTGTTTGTTTGTTTGTTTGTTTGTTTAATGGGGCACTAAGGGTTACCCTAGAGCTACTTACTAACCACAAGGTCAGTGGTTTGAACCCACCCGTGGCTCTGAAGGAGAACGATGATGCTGGCTGCTCCTGTAATGATGTAAAGTCTCAGAAACCTGAAGGGGGCAGTTCTCCTCTGTCCTATAGGATTGCTCTGAGTCCGGGCTGTCAAGGATCAGGGACAAATGCAAGGGCTTGCGGTAAACATGCAGAGGACAAATGTCACCAGCACGTGCTCCACCACCCAATTCCACCCCATCAGGGCTCTGCTTCTTGCAGACCAAGGAGGCAAAGATACGTGTACACGTGCGGAATAAAAAAGCTCTCTGCCATCGCGCCCCTTCTAACATATCCAGGGTCAGTTTAGGGTTGGAATTGACTCGGTGGCAAAATTTTTGTCTTTTGGTGATCATTTGCATGAGAAACGAAACTGTTCTTCAACCTTCACCCACATCGTACCAGAAAGAAACGGGGGCTAAGAGAGGCTGTGATGTGCCCAAGGTCACACAGCAGGTCAGTAAGATCTGAGTCTACTCCTTTAGCCAGCCCACATGCCCCAGACCTGCTCCTCCCCTCACTCTCCATGGCCCCCGGGTCTGGGAACCTAGAACTCATGAGCCTCAGCAGCAGGGTGAAGCTGCAAGCTTTGAACGGGACACCAAAGACCACCTAGCCGGGGGTGATGGGGCAACAAAGACCACCTAGTCGGGGGTGATGGGGTAACAAAGACCACCTAGCTGGGGGTCATGAGGACCAGGGAGGGCGGCAGGAGCCAAGATGCAGGTATTGGGAGCCCCTCCTCACGGGCAGGAAGCCCTCCGTCTGTCTGCTACACTCCTACAGGAGGCCCAGGCTGACAGCAAGAGTACCCTCCCCCATGAGGCCACCCGGCTATTCAATCCACAGTGGAGCTGGGGCAGTGTCGGGGTTTCAGACCTTTTCTGCCCGCGAACCCTGGGAGCCCTACATGTGAGCACTGGCTCTGTGCCAGCCCCTAGTACCTGAGACGAAGAGCCAAGGGCCTGTGGCCACCGGTAGCTCTTTCCAGGCCAGGAAGCCAAGGGCCAGAGGGGGCTCATAGAGGGCTCAGTGAAGGGGCAACAGTCCGGGAAGATGCTCAGAGCTGGCCAGGAGAAAGGATGTCCAGCCCAGTGGGTGACTCCGGGGCCCAGAAAGGCAGGTGACGGAGAGGGAACAAGGCTGGAGCAAGCTAAGAGCTCAGGCAGGAGCAGGGGGCCCGCCGCCCAGTCTGCCCATGTTAGGGTGGAAACGAGAGAGATCCAGGGCCTCACTGCAGGTGCCACAGGTCTGAGTCAAGGGTGGAAGAGGGGGCTTCAGCCAGCAGGGGTCTGGAACTTGGGGTGGGAGTGCTAGGACTGAGGAAGACTCCAAGAATTTAAGAGGGCCAAAGAGAGCAGCAGGGGTGCTTGGGAAGGGAACCAGCCAGCATGGAGCAGAAAGGTAGCTAGGAAAAGTCCACCCCACCCCCTCAGGGACCCCCATTCCCAGGGAAGGGCATTAGACATCTCCTGCCACTGCAGACACCCCCAGAGCAGGAAGTACAACCCCAATGCCCCCATCTTGACTCACCAGCAGCCCCACGACCCCTATAAAATCCTGCTCAGATGTAGGTGGTCCCACCTGGCTAGGGTTAGGTCAGCTGGCTGCACTTGGACAGTGAGGGGCAGGGACAGGGTCCTGGTGAGGGCTGACATGTGGGGAGTGACAGGTCCCTCTCTGGGTTGCTTCTGCCTGTACTCCACACTGGCCCCCCCCCACCCTCAGCCCAGCTGAGCCCCTTACCTCCCTCCCACCTGTCACCTTTCTGACAAAATGGTGGTGGGGGGGGGAGTTTCCCCTTCACACACACACCCAGCAGCTCAGGGGAAGCCAGGTAAATGGAGGGGCAGTCTCACCAGGTCTCCAGAGCCTCCTCATAGGAGTCTCAGGAGGTGCTCAGATGGGGGTCTTTACTCCGAAGGAGGATGAGGCTTTCCACTCCCATAGTCAGTCTTGGAAACCCACAGGGGCAGCTCTGCCCTGTTCAGCAGGGTCCCTGAGCCGAAAGGAACTTGATGGCAGTGAGTTTGGGTGGTTTTCCCCAGGTGGTATCTCCCCTCCCAGAGCCTCGTTGCTTGTAAGGGATTTGCAGAAAGAAAGCAGTGCCCAGCCCAGAGGGCACTGGAGTACCAGCCCCAGAACCCTGGGCTCCTGTAGATCAATGCTGATGGCCTGGGAGGCCCCAGCCAGGCCCAGCGTCCAGCCCTGAGGGACACATGGTCACAGAAGTCAGCCTCCACCTGGGGCCCCAGCCCTGCTCCTCTTCCCCCCACCACCCCCTGCTCATCCCCAACAGAAAAAAAGAATAAAACTCAATCGCTTGAGCATTTATTGGGCTCCCAGGAGGGTCTGACCCAAGCCTGGCCTGCCTTTCAGTCAGGCCCCCATAGCCACTGCACCAGGAACAGGCAGGTTGGATCATTCCTCAGGACTGACCGCCACTATACCCCACTCCACTTCTCCATGTGCCATGGGGGTCCTCAGTTGAGCGGCTTCGAGGTCTGGAGCCCAACTGCTGAGTGATCACGGGCACCTCCTTGCCTCTCTAGGCCTCCAGTCTCCCTCCATCCATTGGAAGAGTGTGATTTTCAAGTGGAAGACAAGGTGCTGCCCATGTGGGGTCCACTCCCCTTAGGATCAGGGACGCTAGAGAAGCAGGCGGGGTCCAGCTGCAGCCACAGCGCTCCAGGCCTGTCTCTGAGCTCCCATCCAGCTCCATCTCACTAGGGTGCCATGACCTAGCACCCCAAGCCATCCCTGCATCCCTGGGGCAGAGGATGCTGCCAGGAAGAGACCAGGCAGTGGTGGGCGTCAAGAAGAGCTGGGCTTCTCCAGTGAGGGGTACAGCTTGCGCAGGCTGGAGTCCAGGAGGAAATCCACAGACCTGAGCAGAGATGGGGATGGTGAGCGGGGAGCCAGGGGTGCAAGCCAAGGACCAGAGGCAGGGGCCTAGGGCTAGGGAAAAGGAGTCCTGGATGCCTGGTCCAAATGCCATCCAGGTGCAAAAGACCTGCCCTCTTCACCCCACCCCCTGCAGTAACCAATCGCAAAACTTCCTCCTCTTTCCTTAGTGAGAGAAACTGAGGCACAGAGGGCAAAGGGCTTGCTCAGGCCCACAGGGTCGGTTATGTTGCCCTGGAGAATGATTCCTGTGCCCAGTAGCTCAGGGGAAGCCACGAGGAAGACAGATGACACTGTCATCCTAGGGCTGGTGTGTTGGGGTGGTCCCATCATCTCTGGTGCTGAGAGGAGGCAGATGACCCGACCCTGGCCAATCAGAAAAGAGGAACTGGCTCGGAGGCAGGCACCTGGTCCAGGATAGACTAATAGCAGGTTTTCCTTGGGATTTTTTTTTCCCCTGTCTGTCTCTGTTGGGAAGCTTCCCATTTGGCTTGTCAACTTGGTGGGATGAAAACTGGGAGGAAAGTGGTTAAAACCAACATGGGTTGGGATGGGTGGAGTAGGGAGAAGGGCTACAGGGTGGGGATAGCCAGACCCCAATGACATCACTTGAGGGTCTAGATTCAGCCAGGCCTGAAAGCAAGCCAACCTTGATTTTTCAGTTTCGCATAACAGTTCATTCCTATATTACCTAACCTCGCTGGAGCTCGGGCTTCTGTCACCAATACCCCCAAAACGCATGCCCACCACCTGCTTCTGCCAACCTTTGTAACACGCATGGCTCTTCTGGAACTTTTCTTGTCCTGTGTTCCATACCCTCAAGGCACCTTCTTCCTTCATTGCCACAGACGATGCCAAGGGCACAGGCTCTCCTTTATACCTCTACGCCCCACCCCCGCCCCTGGAGGGCCCACCTTGCTATTGTTCTGTGCACAGCGGGTAGGCCCCACTCCTCTGTGGGCCTATTCTCCACCCGCATCAAGTGAATGCAGCTTTCACCTGTCGATGGGGTGGACGATGGCTGGGATGATCAGCAGCCCCAGTGCGGTGGTGGTCCACTTGCGAATGGCCAGAGGCCAGCGGGTCGTGGCGCTCAGGACATAGAGGGAGGCTGCACACACACGGTTGACAGTGAAGCCGGGGATGGCCACAGAAGCCAGAGCCTGCCACACAAAGGTGTCCACCACAGCCACGGTCATCCTGGTGCTGCGGCCTGCTTCAGGGCTTGGCACCTGTGGACATGCGTTTAACACAGCTAGGTTGGAGGCCGAGAACTCTGGAGCAAGAAGCATGAGGCTGGGCCAGGGAAGGGAAAAGCAAGCTGCACTAGTGTGGGGCTCTGGACTGTACTCCGTGCAGGGCGGGGGAAGGACCGTACTAGACACAAGGCTGAGAAGAGACTCTGCTACAGCCAGGCCTGAGGACCATATGCAGGGCTGGTGAGAGGGCCTTTAGCACAAGCAGGATTGGGGTATGGACTAGACCACATATACAGCTGGGGGCGGGGGTGGGGCTTTTAGCACAAGCAGGATTGGGGTATAGACTAGACCACATGTACAGCTGGGGCGGGGGGCTCTAAGCACAAGCAGGATTGGGATATGGACTAGACCACATGTACAGCTGGCTGGGGAGGGGGGAACTCAGCACAACCAGAATTGGGGTATGAACCAGACTACATGCAGGGTGGGGTAGAGATTCTTACCACAAACAGAATTGGGGTATAGACCTGACCACATGCAGGGCTGGGGTGGGCAGGGCTGGCTCTTACCACAAACAAGACTGGGGTGATGGACCAGACCACATGCAGGGCTGAGGGTGGGGTTGTCTCTTGCCACGTTCAAGATGGGTACAGACTACACCAGAGGCAACGTTAGGGGGCATAAAAAATCCCACAAGTGCCGGTGGACCTTACCACCCATACAGCTTGGGATGAAACCGATGGGCAATAGATTGGCCCCCAGGAGGGGCTGGAAGCCAACACTCACCTCTCCTGCCTTCTTGCCCTTGTCCACAGCATCAGCCAGCACATAAGAGCTGGCCACCCCGTAGCTCAGCCACACCACAGCTGCAGGCACCAGAGAGCGAAAAGCCTCGCCCACTTCATTGGCATAGCCTGGCAGGTGGGGAGAGAAACACTTCATTCCCGGGCCAGTGGGGTGCTCCGCAAGGGGGCGCTGGATCTCATCTGGCCTGCTGAGCACCGGCTGGTGACCTTAGGCGCCGTCCTCACCTCTCGGAGCCTGGGCCTCTGGACTTGTAAAATGCCCCTTGGCAGGGTGGGGAGGGGCAGCCCAAGCATAGATTCGCCATTACCATCACTCACTGGCTAGATGTCCTCCCCTCCCTGGCCTGGGTTTTATAAATGATCTGTACTGATGGTGAAACCAGGGGCAGGCCACCTGCCCAAGAGCACCGGTCGGGCACTCACGCTGCCCTTACAATCCCCGCGCCCTCTTTGACCCATTATGCCGAGGAGGAAACTGAGGCTCAGACATAGCCAGGGAGCGGCACTGTTATTGGCTGCAGGCTGGCGACCCAGGAGAGCACAGTAGAACTGCTGCACGGGGCTCCCCGGGCTGTGACCCCTGGGAAGTCCGTCTCCACGTGCGCTGGAACTGCCAACCTTCAGCCCGGTGCCCAGGTGGGACTCTGGGTCACAAGAATCCGCAGCCCGTGCTCAGACGCACCAGGGGTCAGCGCGCTCGCCCTATCCTCAAGGGTCCGGGTTCGAGCCTCCTGCAGGGGATGACTGATGTGCAGAGAGCACGAGCGCATGGCTGAGCCCACGATGTGACCTCGGGCAAGTCCCTGTCTGAGCCCAGTCTCTGGCCCCCGGGCCGAAAGAGAACGACGACCCTCCCGCCCACTCTAGACTACGGGCCAGCATCTACGGCCCCCTTCGACTCCAGGGTCCCACGCTCACCCAGGTACCGCACCCAGGTGTCCCGGTAGAGGTCACGCTCAGCGGCCCGCGGCGGCGGCTCAGGCATGGCACCTACTTCCCGCCGCGGGGCAGGCCACTCGGGCTCCTCTAGCGCGCCGGTCGGTCCCAACTGGAAGTGCCCGAGTGAAGGGCAAGTCGTGCGGCGCCCGCGCGCAGGGAGCGTCTGCAAATTCCCCCGCTCGCCGAAGACCCTCCGCAGGGTTCCAAATTTCGGAAATGGATTTTCGGTTTGCTCAGCGCTCAGGGGGCGGTGCGATCCCTCTGCCCCTCCCAGAACGGACTGTGGTTTGGGGAGTTAAAGAGGACGTCGTCACCCTCCTCCCTGCTTGCCTGGGGCAAAAGTCTCATCTGTAAAGTGGGTCGCGATCACTTGCGCTCCTTGGGATGGTTGCGAGGATTCATTATAAATCGCATTCACTGAGTGTCCTGCGGGCCCGGCGGCCGCTCGCTAAACTGGATTACCTCTGCGGCAGGAAGGCGGTCCTCTTGACCGGGTCACGCCACCGCCAAGGGCGGATCCCCACGGTTCCTGGCTGTTCATTAAACGCGCCGGGAACGGGCCTCTCCCGCCAGGTGGATGCCCGGACTCTGGAGTCCATTCCAGCATCCACCAAGCCCTCGGGTTTAACTGGGGTTGGTCTGGTCCGGCCCTAAACCGAGCCGCTTGGGACAATGCTATGAATGAATGAATGAATGAATGGGTGGGTGGATGGATGCATGGATGAATGAATGAACGGAGGGGGGAGGGGAGCATAGGGGGACACGACTGGACTCCAGGGACTTCCTTGGGAGGTAGTTTACAGTAGGAGGCGCGCCCCTTCGGTGTTGGAATTCAATTTGCCCACCTGTGCAATGGGTGTGGCTACAGAAACGGAAATGTCCCAGAGGCAAAGCACCGGTCATTAGAAACAGGCAAGTCCTGGGTTCCAATCCCAACTGTGCCGCCGATTGACTGAGCCCTTCCCGCGGGTGAAACTTGGTAGCCGGTAAGCCCTGGCTCGGCATTTGAGCCCTTGGCGCAAATCATTTCCCTGAATGTTTGCCTGACCCCTAAGCAGCAAAGAGCGCTGTTGCGAGGTACGCAGTCAGCGCTCGTTAAAAGCTTAGGCGCCCATTAAGAGTTAGCATTTAATATCATCAAATAAAGGTGGGGAAAGTGAAAATGATTGATTCCCCGCGGCGAAGCTTCGGGTTCTGCGTCTCCAAAGTTGTCCCCAGCCCGTGAAAACACTAGCAGTGCCGGCGCGGAATTAGGAGACGGTCCCTAATACCACGTGACCGCTACTCCCCCGCCTCCCACCAGCGCGGCGCGCTTTCGCCCGGACCCTCAGTAGCCGGCTCGCAATGACTATTCTAGAAGAGGGTGGGGCCTCTGCCCTCACCATAAAGACGACCGGGAGCACCTTCAATGCCCTTAGAAAAGATGGCGGAAGACAGCCTACCGACCAGACCAATCCATTAGGGCCAGCACACCAGCTGGGCCAATCAGGAGGAGGCAAGCTGGCCGTTTGGGCCAGCCCACCAGCTGGGCCAATCAGGAGGCAAGCTGGCCGTTAGGGCCAGCCCACTGGCCGGACCAATCAGGAGGCATGCCGGCTATTGGGCCCCCAGAGGGAAGCGCGCTTGTTAGGCGAGCTGCGGAGAGGGTTTGTGCGTGTGCTCCTTGTGTTGGCTGGAAGCTGTTGCTGGGCTCCCGCATGAACTGCTGCGGGAGGGAAGTGGGAGGTGCAGGCATTGAAGTCCATTCTTTGCGCACTGAAGGTTGCTTTATTCATTGGTTAATGTTCCTAACATAACATTGTAAACCGAGGCCGGGATGCCCTCCTGAGGCCTCAACCCCTCTGTTCTGCAGCAGCCCTGCCGAACGAACTAACGTGCCCTCAGCTTTGTCCCCACGCTGGCCAGGGCCTGGGTTTAGGAGGGGCAGGCGCTCTCGGGCTGTAGGCGCCACCCCACCCTCCACCCTGACCTGGTGTCCATATGCTGGACACGGTTTGGGTGAAGTGAGTGCCCTGGTTGCCCACAGGGGGGGGGCCCCGAGTGTCCGCACCGTCCATCCCTGCTTGGAGGCCCTGCAGACAGAGGAACTAGGTGCCCCCCACCCCCGGCCCCGGCCCCGTCAGACGCAGGCCCAGCCATTGGCCTCGTGCAGGACCAGCCTCCCTACGTGGCCCATCCAGGAGGTTCTCTCCACTCAAGCCTGCCTATCCCTTGCAACAGGGCCAGCCACCCCAGGAGACCCAAACTGGGAAGTGCCCTGTGTGTGTGCTATTGTCTTGTTCCTGTGTGTCATTTCTGTCTAGGGTGCTCAGAAGGAGGGCTTCTAGAGGAGAGGGAAATGGAAGGTTCAGGGGTACACTGGCACCCCAGCCTCCCTGGCTTCTCCCTAGGCTGGGACTCCTGTGCCCTGTAATTTCCCCTGACCCCTGTTTGCATGGTGGACAGTGGCTCGCTGCCCCGGGAAGCCCTGAGTGAACAGCAATGAATCATGAAGGAGTCAGCCAGGGGTGGCTGGCATCCTTGGGGTGACAGAGGGAGCCTGTTCATCTGCCCCTGAGTGGGAAGATCAATGTGGACTCGGGCCACCTCCCCCAACCTGAGAAAAACCAGAGCTATCCTGGCCTCGGTGCTGGGAAGGCTCTGAGCCCAACCATAATTCTAGCAACTGGCTAACGAGCTACTCATTAAGATCTAGAATTACACGTTCATGTAGGAACAAGCTCCTCCCTGCAGCTGGCTCCCCTTAAATGTTAGGTTGCAGTTTCTCCCCTATCTTTGTTTCCCTGCTATCACCCCAAGGTCCCCCCCACTCCCTGCCGTAGCTGTCATGGGGTGGGTGAAGTTGGCACAACTTAGGAGACCGTTTGGTCCTGTCGTCATGCTGCCCAACCCCTGGGATGGCTGGACCATTTGGGCAGCAAGGAGAGCCACTCCAGCCACTGTCCCTCTCCCTGATTCTGACATGAAAGCTCCCCACATCCAGCCTGATGCCTTTCCTCCATCCCACTGTCTGAGCTGCAGGGTGCTAGTAAAAATGACTGCTGCCAGGGTTGGAAATCGACTGGGAGACACAGTGGGGGGCCAGGCCTGGGGTGGGATGGAGGTGTTACATCGGGGTGATTGCCCCCAGCTGTTGCATCTTCTCTTCGGAGGCTTTGTCTGGAAGCAGGACCTCCACCGTGAAACTGACCTTCTTGGCATGAATGAAGCTGTAGGTGTTGTCAAAGCGCAGGACATCTGGGGGGAGGCAGAAGAGCAGACTATCAGACAGTTCTCAGGAAGGGCTGGGGGGGGTGGCGGGGGCAGCGGTTGTTGTTCCTGTTGACTGAGCAGGGCAGTGCGATACTAACGTGGCTAAAGGAAGCCTAAGCTATGGCCCTCGTGGAGCTGGGCTGATGGTGTTCCCACGCAGCAAAAAACAAAATATGTCATGTGTCATACTGACATGGGAGAGAGATAATGATGTCTGTAGCCATCGTACAGATCCTGTACACTGAAATCCTATGGAAAGCTTCCTAGGGGAACTGGAACTGGCCCTTGAAAAGAGGGAGCAGAATTAGCAACAGCAGCAGGAACAAAAATAGTCATAATAGCTGTTTGTGTGCCTCAGCTCGGGGAATCTGTGAGCTTACTCCAAACCACAGCCAACCAAGCTGTCTTGGAAGAAGTGCAGAGCAAGGATGGCAAGACTTCGTCTCCTGCATGTTGGACATGTTATGCCCAGGCCTTCGAGGAGGACATCATGCGTAGTGATGTAGAGGGGCAGTGAAAAAGAAGACCCTCGAGATGGATTGACCACCGCGGCTGCAACAATGAACTCAAACGTAACAATTGTGTGGATGGCGCAGGACCAGCAATGTTTTGATCTGTTGTACAGGAAGCCGCTATGCGTAGGAACAGGCTCCATAGCATCTATCAACAGCTCACAATCACCCCAGGAATGATGGGGTTATATACAATTTTAAAGGTGGCTAGGCAGCCCTGTGTCACACAGTAAGGAAGTATAATGACCAAGAATGTCAGATTCTGCTCCCCCCAGTCCCCACGACTTCCTTTGTCCTGCCAGCCTCCCACTCAAAGCCAACACCGATAAGTCATAACACTGACCAGGCAGGGCAGAATTGCCCCAGAAGGTTTTTGAGGCTGTAAGCTTTTACAGTTTAGACGGCCTCACCTTTCTCCCTTGGCCAAGGTTCAGTCATTTCAATTAGCAGCTGAGTGCTTTACCCACTGCACCACCAGGTGATTTTTCTGCCCTCTAACCTTGGTAGCATAGTAGTTAAGCATTGGACCGCTAACTGCAAGGTTAACCATTCAAAACCACCACCCGTTCCTTGGGAGAAAGACAAGGCTTTCTACTCCCGTGAAGAGTTATATAATCTCACAAAGCAACCAAATCAATGTGAAGGGGCGTGGACATAGTGGAGACCCCAAACCTACCTTTAAGATAATTGGACAGTCCCTTTCAGAAGGACCACACAGAAGGGATGATAAATCCAGAGTGCAGTATAGCACTGATGAACCAAATAACTATCCTCTAGGTCTTCAATATTTCCTCCCCTTACTATTATGGTTTTGTTTGTTTTACCTCATTAATCATGTTAGACTTTCGTATGTTCATTTGTATAGTTAAGATCATTTGATACATGAAAGCTAAGAAAGATAACCCTTTAGAAACAGTAACAGGAGTAACGGTTCCCTGAGGATACAGGAATGGGGGGTGGGGTGGGGGTGGAGAGAACAGCTGATTGCACTGATGACTGTATAACCTCACTCCACGTGAGCAAAAGACAGAATTGTACGTAAATTGATATATTGGTTGGTATAAGATACAGCAAAAAATAAATAAGGGTTCCTGGTGGTGAGGGCAGGGAAGGGAGGGGACAAAGGGGAGCTGATATCGAGTTCAAAAAGAAAGAAAATGTTTTGAAACTGGCTGTGGTAGCAACTGTCCAATACTGACTGATGTGATTGAACTATGGAATGTTATATCTGTAAGAGCTCCCAATAAAATGATTGAAAAAAAAAAAAGCGTGACAGTTTCAGAAACCCACAGGGGCAGTTCTACCCTGTCCTAATGGGTTGCTGTGAGTCAGAATCAACTCCGTGACAGGAAGTTTGATATAAGCCCTGAAAAACCCAGTCCTGGGCAGTGTCTGATAAAAGGTAAAAGGTGCGAGGCTGTTTGAACCAGCACTTTATCCCCCAGAGAGAGAAGTGGACAAGGGTGCTCAGTGCAGGCCCATTGGGAATAACTGCAGCAGGGCAGTTTGTAAGTAGTCTGTGACACACGTAAGTACATTTATCTGTGCATCGAGCCCTGGCTTTGGCTGCCTGACTAACTCCACCCCAAGCACTCCCATGGTGCTATCCGGTGTTTGTCTTAAAGGGAAAGTTCTCCTTAATTCCTGATACGTTGTACAATTTTGAAATGTCTCCAAACGTGCACTACGTGGCACACAGTTACTAGGGTGGCAGTACCTTTTAAGGGCACAGGAAGAGATCTGATGGGGTCACAGACAACACCTCTTAGCAGGGGTTTCTTCCCCAGAGAGAAAACCAAATCTTAGCAACGGGACAGACTGTCTTGAATTCGAAGTGGTTTTTTGAGCAGTTGTTCCATTTCAGTCAAACACCTCTTCAAGAGAAGGGGGGGTGACAACAAAACACAAGCTCCACCCCTTCCCCATTTCCCAGCAAAACAAAACAAACTGGTTGATCCTGAGAGTTAGCCCTCCCTCTTCCTCATCCCTGAATAAAACATCATTTTAGAGCGAGGGTACACATTCCACGCGCCCTTCCTTCGTGGTGCAAAGTGAGTCCCTGTTAGTCACCTCTCTGCAGGACCAATGGGTGCAAGGCAGGGTCCTCTAGCGAGGGAAGCCTCATCTGCCCAGATATCAGAGACTCAGCCAAGAGTTGGCCTCGCTGGACACGAGGTCTCTGAGCTTCTTCGACCAAGCACCAAGCTGGAGGTGACTCTGTCTTGGATACATCACCCTTCAAAAGAAGGCCCAGACTTACGCCCGGGCACGGGCTGAAGGCAGCACAATCGCTCTGGCTCAAGTTTGTCCCAGTTGCGCTGGGACACTTGTCACGTCCTCCAGGACTTTCCAGGCCCTACAGATCCTTCAATTGCAGGCTTCTTAGTGTTGGGGGGGGCGTAACTGAGACCTGATGGTTTTGCATTGGGCTACAATCCCGAAGGTCAGTTCAACACTGCCAGCCACTCGGAGGGAGAAAGGCAGCACTGTAAGCAGTCACAGTCTCAGACACTGAGAAAGGGCAGCTCTCCCCTGTCCTGTGGGGTCTCTGAGAGTCGGCATCGATCCGATGGCAGTGAGGGACCTGCTTGAAAGGCTGATGAAACAGTGGCAGATCCCTGGGGCCCACCGTGGACCCGCAGGGGAAGTGCACCAATCCGAAGAAGAGCATCCGAAACAAAAGAAAACTGTTTCCTTCTAAGCGTATGTGTTGTTTTGGGGGTTTTTTGTTTTTGACTATTTGCGGATTATGTTGGTTGGTCACATGATCGTGGATCTCGTTTCGAACAGTAAAGGTGACATCAGAAAGGACTTGTTATGAAAGAGGAGTGTGTGGTCTGAGAGCCACTGCTGAGGGAAGGGGTGGGGGTGGGGTCTCTGGGGTCCTACAGACCTCAGACTCGGAGCCTCTGCTCTCGTCCACTTTCAGGAGGAAGAAAGCAAACTCTGATTAAATAGTCAGAGATGCCTTTTCAAAGAGCCTCTTTCCATTCCCAGGGTGGTCCACGCTTAGCAGCCCTCAATACATTGAGGGAAAACAATTGATATTTAATATCCGCCCCCCCTCGCAGTAAGTTAGTGTCCAAGGATCCCTGGTGGCGTAGAGGGTTTTGTGTGGAGCCCCTAAACATAAGGTCAGCAGTTCGAACCCACGAGCTGTTGCTCAGGAAGAAGAGGAGGCTTCCTGCTCCCATAAAGGTTCACAGCCTGGGAAACCCATAGGGGCAGTGCTGCTCAGCTCTAGAGGGTCTGAGTCCGAATCGACTGGATGGCGGTGGGTCGGGGTTTGGTTTTCGTTCAGGACCGGAGGCCTGGGGCTGGGGGCTCATGTGCTCTGACAGTTGGGAATGTCATTTCCCCACGGGGCTGGTTATGTTCTACTCTATGGGGCAGACTAGTTCCCCACGGCGCTGCCCTCTGCCAGACGTACTGTTGCTAACGCGGAGTTCGCCCTGGGCTTGGGTTAAGGAAGCCAGACTCATCGTCTTTCTACCTGGGAAGGGTGAGTGGCTGCAGGGGCTCCTCCAGGGGCCGAGAAGCAAGCTGATCAGGGCCCTGCAGGCAGACCAAGGTTCCTGTTGGGAATGTAGCCAAGAGGAGCTGAACGGAACTGAGGATTTGCAAACGAAAGCCGCCTGGTTAAGTGAGAGTGAGGGCAGTGCCCGACAACACGGAGGAGGTGGTGTGATGAAGGACAAAATGCTCCTCCACAAATCAAGAGCTGAACCTGACCATCTCCAAGCCTGGGCTTCTAGCATTCTCTAGTGTCTCCTTTGTGAGGAAACACACCCCTCCTCTATCTAGACTCCAGCTTCCCCTCCCATGAAAGACAAAATCCAGGTTTCTATTAGCCAGTGCACTGTGCTCCGGGGGTGGCAGAGTCCGGGCTGGTGCGAGGCTTTTCTGGCGGAAGCACACAGTATGCCCCCCGGGTACAGGTCTCGCAGCAGAGCCAGCCACTCACTAACAAGGGCATTCTCCATCCCTGAAGAGTCATGCTCTAGCACCAAGCAGCTGTCAGGAGGGGGCAGGAGAGACTGAAGGTTGCCAGGGATATGGGAGGAGAGGCAGGAGCTGAGGTGGGTGAGGTGTAGACAGACAGAGCTGAGGCATCTATGGGGCCAGTTCACATCTCTTGGTGCTGTCGCCATGGAAATGGGGCCCTGGCTTCTCCACCGCCCAGCACTGTCTCAGGGACAGGCCCCCACCCACTCCTGTTTCCCACCCTTCCCCCTCCCCACTTTGCCCTGCTAGTAATGGTGACGACAGTGTATTGAGTGCTTCCTACATGCTACGCCTCATGCTAGGTGCTACACACCGGATCACATGGCCTCATTGCCCTCCATCTGCAGGTTAGTGCAGCTGGAGGGGGCCCTTGTCTAAAAATCTCAGTGATTTTCGGCACATGGCCCCTTGGCTCTGATCCAACCCAAACTCACTGCTGTCGAGCCCATTCTGAACCCAAGGGAGCTTCCAAAAGTTGGTCCCCAAAATGGCACGATCTTTTCATTCCATTCTTGCGTGAACTTTTGGCTGCCCTCTTGTAACGTGACCGTAGGGGACAGAGCAGAGCTGCCCCCACAGATCTCCAGGACTGCCATCTACGCTGGCAGGGGCTCTGGGGGGCTCCGTGTTGGGTGCGAGGCATGAGCTCAGCCATTCAAACCCGCCAGCCGCTCCCACAATTTCCCAATCTCGGGACCCCAGCAGAGGGCAGTTCTGCCGTAGCCTGTGGGGTCTCTGTGAGTCAGAACGGCAGTGAATTTAGTTTGGGGTTTTATCCTTATAGGAGGAGATGGCCACGTCCTTGCCCAGCAGAGTGGCTGGCCGGCTCCAGCCACTTGAACTACTTCCTGGGCCCTGATAGAGGGCAAACTGAACAACCGGATGGGCAGGGGAGAGCGGGTGTTTGTGAGTGGTTTCTGCTTGTCAGTGGCGGTTGTGAACTGTTTTCTATTTCTAGGGATAGCGTGAAAAAATGAAGGCCCCTCCCAATAAGCTTTCTCCTACCCCAGAGTGACCACTGTTGGAATCAGCAGAGCTCTCCCAGAATTCTTTTCCGTGGCTATATGCTTGCTGATTGTTGTCGTTTGTTTTTTACCAAAGTGAATACATCCATGCCTATGAATGCCATGTCTATGAATCATGCCTTGTTTACCGGTTCTCAGACATCTTACATGCCAATTACTTGCATTGACAGGCATGTGGTGCTCCACTGTGTGGACCATGATATATTTGACAAGACCTTTATTGTGGTCCTTTGGTTTTTGCTATGGGAGCCTGGGTGGTGAAGTGGTTACACCTTGGGCTGTGATCGCATGGTCAGCAGTTCGAAACCACCAGAAGCTCCTCGGGAGAAAGATTGGGCTTTCTACTCCTGAACACAGTTACAGTCTCGGAAACCCACAGGGGGGTCACTATGAGTCGATGGCAGCAAGTTTGGTTTGGGTTTTTAGTTTACTGCCAGTTTCCCGAGCTGCTAGAAATATCTCGTCCCCATGTGTTGGGGGCACTTGTACAAATGTTCCTGTAGATGGCTGAGCCAAAGGGAATTACAAAAGACATTGCAAAGTCATTAAGGCTGCATATTTTTCCACATATGTAGTGGGTTATTCATTGGGCTGCTAGCTAAAAGGTAAACTGTTCAAACCCACCAGCCGCTCTGAGAGAAAGAGGAGGCTTTCTCCTCCTATAAAAACGTCTAGCCTCAGAAAGCCGTAGGAGTTCAACTCTGTCTGTCCTAACTGTCGCGATGAACCAAAATCGACTGGATGGCACTGAGCTTGGGTTGTTTCAGGTTTGGGGGTCTTTTGGTGTTTGTTTTGTTTTGTTTTTTGCCATTCTTCCTTTTCTGGTATAAATTGCCTGTTCATTCATGTCCTATCTGCTCATTTTGTGGCCTCTGCGGGGTTGAGACACACTCAGGCGGAGCTTTGGGCCACTTGGCTCACCAACACCACCCACCCAGTCTTGCCTCTTTGGCTTCTGGAAAAGTTACTACCTCAAGAAATGTCTAGCCACAGACACAGACCCTGTCTGACCTGGGGCAGAGGGCAGGCATTGTGGGTCCCTGTGACTGGCCCAGACCTGGGAGCCCTGGATCAGAACCCTGCCCTGCTGAAAACCAGTCTCACTTCAAGCCCATGTCCTCTCCCCTCTGTGTGCCAGGAGAGGGGTGAACTGGCCGAACGCACTTGCAGCTCTCACGGCCTTGGAGGAGGGGCCTCTAAGGCAGGGTTAGGGTAGGGAGCCCAAGGTACTCACAGATGCCCGGATCACTGCAGGTGAGAGTCCCGTCCTCGGGCACCATGTGGGCGTTGCAGCGCTGATTGGCCAGCACCTCTGTCATCTCGCCCGCCCGCTGCCGCTCCCCCATCTTGGTCTTCAGGAAGATCCCGAAGCCGATGTCGGCCCCATCTGATGCAAACTGCCACCTGCAGGGTTTGTCCAGCAGTCATTGAAACACAGTCCTTCTGCGTGTGGCCTGGCTGGGGTCCTGGCAGCAGGCCTTCTCCCACCCCAGGCCACCCTGGGCGCCTACAGATGTGAGGCTCGGGTGTCCTGGAAGGCGCGGCCTACCTGAGGACACAGCCGGGGAAGAGGATCTCATACTCCACTTGGTGGGAGGAGCCGCGGGCGATCTGCACGCTGTGTTCGTATTGCTGCTTCACCTGGTCTCGCACGTAGTACTTCTTGGGGATGTCACCCCCGAAGTTGATCTAGAACCAGGGCGGGGAGTGAGCGGCAACATGGGGCTGAGCCTCGCGTCCTGTTCACCTCCAGCCCCTGGCAGGCCCATACCTTGGATTTGCACTTGGGGTTCCCGTCAGGGTCAGTCATGGTGCCCCCATACTCCACAGGCAGCTGGTCAGGACTGATGTGTTTCAGTAAAACTTCTTTCCAGTTTGCTAGCAGGAGAGGGAAAGAGGAAGAAAGATATGTCCGCCACCAGGCAATCTCTCTCTCTCTCTCTCTCTCTCTCTCTCTCTCTGCAGGAGGGATGGGCTGCACACATAACATAGTACTGTAGAGGGAGCCCTTGCCAGAGGACAGGAAGTTGGAGTCCCACATCACTGTCCTCCCTGCCTCTGACCAGCAGTGTGACCCACGGGTGTGAATTTCTTTGGTCCAGAAATCAGTTCCTTCTGAACCTCGCTAAGAAGAGAACCCGGTCCCTCCTGCCTTGCAGGAGTATGGGAATGAAGGAAACCAGGTTCTTGAGAGGCTTTGTAAACAGTGAAGTGCCCCGCGGGTATGGGAGTGTAGTCTCACACCCAGGGAGGTGATACACGAACACTTGAGGTGCCAGCAGGAGACAGACAGGCATTCCGCCTAGACGGCCTGGTGGTGGGCTGGCAGGTCCTGTGTCTTGCTTTCCATGTGAGGCCACACAGGGCTCTCTCGGCCATCCCTGTGGCACATACCCTCTCACGTGGCTGCCCCTGGCTTTTCCCCCAGCCTCCTTCACTTCCGCTTCTGTTGTTCTGGGCAGTCAGTGGCCAGAGATTTCACTTGTTATTTTTCTAAGCAAGGTGCTTCCTAACCAGGAAAGTCTGACTCCAGGGTCCAAATTACGAAACAAACCCCCGCCAAGTGCGGTCTTTTGATATGGGGACTATTTAGACTCTGTATGAGCAGCTGCCGCAGCCCAGTGCTCCCTGTCCGGCACGCTGGCTGGGAACCAACAGTGTCAATGCAGGGTTTCATGCCTTCAGATGGCCGTGACCACGCAACACACGCCTGGGAACACGGGGTCTTGTGGTCTGGCTGGGGTGGTGGAAGCTGTGCCCTGAAGCTCCAGGGGCCACCTCAAAAGTGAATTTCCTCCCTCCTCTGTTGCAGATTCTGCACCTTCTCAGCCCAAGTCAGGATCGGTGAAAAGAGTGTGGGTGGGAGAACAGACGGAACCTTCTACACAGTTCTGCTGCCAGGAAACCAGCCCGTCTCATGCCCGTGGTGGGTGGTAGCAGCAGAAAAACCACAAATCATAAGCCTTTTGCTCTTATTTTTACTTTCTTCCTCCGACTCAGCCGGAGAGGTGAGGGGCGGTCAAGCGTCTTCCCATCCTACAGGAAGTGTCACGGAGGCACCAAGAAGCAGAACTTGCTGTCAGGGCTCGGCCTTGAACCCCAAAGTCTAAGACCTTCCACCCGCTTCACTCTCCACACCAGTGGCTTCCTGCCCATATTCAGGATAAGAGAGCACGTTTTTCAGCCTTCCTGTTCAGAAACCAGGGGGAAAGACGGGGCTTCCCACTCCCAGAAAGAGCCGCAGTCTCGGAAACCCACAGGGGCAGGTGGACCCTGTCCTGGAGGGTCACCAAGAGTCAGAACCAACTCCACGGCTGTGAGTTTGGGTTCAGAGACCATCAGATGGTCTAGTACCTACTTCCAAGTTCAAGTCCGGATGGTGTGAAGCCTTCTGTGAGCCGGTCTCCTTCTCCAGCCCTTCCTCCCAGCACACTTCATGCCTGCTCCACGCACACTGGACTCCTTGCTGCCTGGGGTTGACTGGACTCCTGAGCATCCTCCTGGCTGGGTTTTCAATCACACTGTCCCCGTGGCCTGATGTTCGCCGTTTCCTGCACGCTCAGGCGGTTGGCCTGCTTCTCTGCCAACCTCTTTAATCCCTTCTCAGGCTCCCTGGTGGGTTCCTAATTCCTGGCCTGCTCTTGAGCTCAGGTTGTCCTCAGGGTTCCATCGTTAGTCTCCGTTCTTCCGTGAGGAAGATGCCTCTCCTCCTCCTCAGGGTCTGACCTACGGCCTAGACTTGAGGGTGGCCAGAGCTCCAGAGTGGAGTTCTCTCCAGAGCATCAGGATCCAGTCTTCCCAACCTCTGCCCATCTCACGGACTCAAGTCCGACTTGGGAAGCTTCTGCTTCCGGGTGAACAGAATCCGTGTTGGACGAAGGGATCACCATCAGCTCGGTCCTGTCAGACACCAGGAGTCCTTTTAGCTTCCTCGGGCACCCCTACTCCCCACATCCAATCAATGGGGTTCTGCTGGTTTCACCCGGATGTCCTCGGTCCACCCTCAACTCTCTGGCCCACTGTCCCTGCCCTGGTTCACTGAGCAATGGCCATCGTATGCAAACAGGCCCCGTGGCCCCGTGGATCTGTTCTTCACAATCCTGCGGATACAATCTCTCGATTTAAAAATCCTATGTTTAGAACGCATCTCTGGTCCCCAGGGGCAAGTGTACTCATGTCTCAGCTTCCGGGCAGGGTGCCCTGGATTCTCGGTGGCCCGGATCTTGGTCTTTGTCCAGCTCATCTCTTGATATAGTCTGCCTCCCATCCCCCAAACCCTGCCTAGGCCATGCTTGCTCAGTGCTGTTCGTGCTGCCTTGCTCCATCTGGCGGGATGCTTTTCCATTCTGCAGTCGACAGCTCAGGTACCGCTTCCTCCCTACACGTGCCCTGCTCCTCGGTGCTCCCATGCGTTTTGCGGCCCCTTCTTTCATATCTCCCATGTCACACTGTCCCATCTGACTGTATCCCTTCCTCCAGAGGCTTCAAGAGACTCTCATGCATCTTTCCTGCCTCAGCGCTTAGCAGACCCTGGTTCATCAGAGGTGCTTGTTCAATGGAGCCACTCCTAGTTGCCCCCACGGGAAAGCAAGCTCTGGTCCTAGGACTCCCGTGGCACCTTCTCTTCCCTCTCCTTGTCCCCTTCCGGTTGGTATCAGAGCTTCCTCTAGGCAGGCCTTCTGACCCTTGTTATAACTGAGCTTTTGAGGTCAAAGACTAGGGTTTCCTGCATCTTTGACTCTACCGTGATGAGCCCCATGCTTTTTTTTAGGCCAGCAGTCGGCAAACTTTTGAGCCAGAAGAGCCAATCCTGTCCCTTCCAACAATTTCAAAATTATTCGAGAGCCCAAAAATATGTTTTTACAAACCAATGAAATCACCATTATCTGAAGAAGAGCCTTTAAAAATGTTCACTTTTGCCTCAGAGCCACATGGACGTACCGGGAGAGCCGTGTAGGGCCGGTGAGCTGCAGTATGCTGCCCCGCTGTTCAAGCGCGGCTGAGAGAGTCCCCGAGCAAGCCAACATGACAGGAAGGCCCTGGCTCTGTCCCAGATGTCCCGGGTCCCAGACCAGCCGAAGGGCCCTTCACCCTGATTGCTATGGCCACAGCTCTACAGCCAGCCCGGGTTCAAGGCCACTCACCTCCCAGGACCATGATCTTCCTGCGCGTGTCCTCGCTCAGGAAAGGTTTGATGAGGTTATAGGCCACAGGAAACAGCTTGGGGGCTGGAACAGAGAACAGGAGATGAAGCAAGGAGCAACATGCCCCTCTCTACGGTGTTGGTCCAGTGTCACTCCACATGTCCCCCAGGGCTGTGGACCCTGGACAGCCGGACTCTGAGGCCCAGCATGACTCTTACCTTCCCATCTCCCTGGCTGTGCACCCAAAGGGGGCTATAGTTTGCTGCCTAGGGCTTGATTCCAACCCATCGCGACTCAGTGTGTGCACAGTAGAACTGCTAGTAGCCAAACGCTTAACTGTCTGCGCCACCCAGGAACTCCTTCAGAGGAGCCAGGAAACCTAGCAAAGCTTTGTGAGTTGGGAGGTGGACAGAGGCACCCAGGGTCAGCCATCTCAACATGCCCTCTGGCGCCCGGAGCTTCCCCTCTTCTTAATCTGGCCCGCTGGCATTTCGGCCCTCTTACCTTTCACAACAAAAAGACGCTTCAGCGTTTCAGGATAATTTTCCTCAAACATGCAGAGGAACTGGGGAAACAAAACAGGGATGGCAGCAGCCTCAGACCCCTGCCTCCTCTAGGCCAGAACTTGCCCCTACCGCTTCACCAACTCGCCCTCCCCTCGCCACTGGTGGACACCTGACAGCCACCTTACCTCTCCGTAGGCTTCCACGGCTGGCTTCCAGAGATGCTTGAGGCCAAGCCCCTCACAGTCATAAATCATCGTGATGGTCTCTACCTTCTTCCCCACCTGCAGGGGGTGGCGGAGCAGTCTTGTCTGGCCATTCCACAGCAGAAGCCCCCCCACCGCCCCCAGCGAGTCCACTGTGGCTCCACAGGACAGTGTAGAGCCGCCACACAGGGTCTCCGAGACTGTCGGTCTTTTCCGACCGTCGTCCCATCCGTTCCCTGTGGAGCAGCGGTGGGCTCGAGGGGCCAACCACTCAACCACTGCACCGCCAAGGCTCCTAAGACGCCAGGGCAAATGCCGACGGCACCACAAACTGGAAGGACTGGGTCTAAGAGGGGCCAGATGTCGGGTTTTCCAGACTGAGATGATCTGGCATTGTGGCTTGGCCAGTCGCTCTTCCTGAATCTCCCTGTTCTCAGTCAGATCTGGATGGTTCTAGACGACATCTGAGGCCTCTTCTGCCGTCTGAGCGGGGGACATCTGCTTCTGAACCGCCAAGCCCTCTGGGGACAGCACGGTGAGGCACTCAGTCCTGGGGTCTTGTGAGCCGCTTCACTCGCAGGCACTGACCAGTTCTGTCCAACCCAAGTCCAGAAGAGCTGGTCTGGACCAGCCCCCAGACAAGTGCTGGGGAAAAAGCTAATGCCCTGAGCTGACCATAAAGCCAAGCGTATTCCATTTCAAGGACTGTCCTCATTCTGAGAGAGTCTGACATTCCTATGGTTTGGGGTGTGGACTGTGGCAACCATAGCTAGTACTCTGGTTAAAGGCCTCACTTGGCAAAATAAAAGATTAGCAACAGTAACTAGTTCAGTGCCTAAAAATTGAAGCGTCGCTGGTCTATGAAGTTCTAACGTCTGGGTCTCGCCGCCAACCCACCCACCTACTGCCATCAAGTTGATTTCAACTCACAGCGACGCTGTATAGGGTGTCCGGGGCTGTACATCTTTACGGGAGCAGACAGCCCAGCTTCCTCCCATACTAAAGCTGTGCTCCAATTCCTGTGCCGTGTCCCGTTCCTGCTTGAATGCCTCCACCGATGGTTAACTCAACTTTTTAACCACAGTCATCCACTCACCTTGGCTGTTTGCCGGACACACTCCTGCAGCAGCAGCTCACAGTCCCGCATCTTTGTCCTGAGCAGGTCCTGTTTGGTGGCTGAGAACAACAGCCCCTTGGCATCCAGAGGCCCAATGATATCGTACCAGACAGGGCAGCCGTCCAGGTCGTAGCCACACATGCCCCCTGCCAGATACTGTTGGATCACCTGGGCAAAGACACAGAGGAGGGGCTTGGGCTGCTGTCCCAGGGCATCTGTCCCATCCTTGTGCCACAAGGCCAGGCTCTGGGCTCTTCAGCTTCTCCCCTGAGGGACAATGAAGACCCAGACTGGCAACCGGCAGGGCTCATGGCACAATCCCACGCCTCCCCTGAAGGGCCCCGGTGAACAGACCCAGCGACACCCTGGGCCTAGTCAACCTCAAATGAGCCCAGGGCAGGACAATGAGTGTGTGCTCACCTCTGGGGGCTGCCACTTGATGATGTTGTCAATGTCCTTTTGCTTCCGGAACTCCACATGCTGCAAACATGCAGTCGGGGATTTAAAAAGTGAGGTGGGAGGGGGACCCTTCATAGGTAGTGAGCACTGGGTGACACCACACAAGCAGACTACAGGTGGGTCCTGAGACAGCAGGGATGGAAAAGGAATGACTGCAGAAGGCCTTTGACAGGAAAGGATGCTAGAACCCTTCACTGGCCCATACCTCCGCACGCTGCTTCTGGGAGATGGCTGTTACTCTGCACCAGAGGCCAAGGCCATGGGGGTGGGCTAATACTCGGGTCTGTTGCACAAACTGCAGACTGAAATTGGGGTGAGCAAAAGAGGTCCAAGCAAGGGGAGGGACTGAGCCAATGGGGGAATGCCGAGTCAGGTGACCCTCACCTTCCGGAGCATGGCCTCTGACTTCTGCAGGTCAAAGCTTCTTGCTGTAAGAGGGAAACACGGTTGGGGTGAAGCCAGGTCCCCGTACAGGCAGAAGCTAATGTGGGGTGGCCCTTCAACAAGGGCATCTACAGAACCACAGCTCTTGGGCTTATGGGGACAGCAGGTCACATTTGGGAGCAATGAAAGGCAACACTGTGACTTCAGGGTCAGAAGAGTTTGATCCCGGTGGATGCAATCAGGTGAAAGGTCTTATCTCCTTCAGGGAAAGTGCACCCTGGTCCCTTATCAATGGGCCTTCCCCTTACATGGGCAAAGCTTATCTCCATCCAGCCCTAAGAGTTTGACCCACAGCTCAAAGATGAACCTAGCTCCCCATCATCTGAGGGCAGCTGGACAAACATCCGAGGGTGATAGAGGGGTTGCTGTCATCTTTGTCCTGCTCTCAGAGAACCCGTGCATACTCTAAAATAGGGCTCCTCAAACTACGGCCCCGCGGGCCACATGCGGCCCGCCCAGGGCATTTATCCGGCCCGCCCAGTGTTTTTGCCCCGTTTGTTTTTTTACTTCTTATGTGCAATGTGCATAGGAATTTGTTCATAGTTTTTTTTCAACCACAGTCCAGCCCTCCAATGGGTAGGAGGGACAGTAAACTGGCCCCCTATTTAATACGTTTGAGGACCCCTGCTCTAACAGCTAGGTTGGCAAACTTATCTGGCCTATTGCCCCCTTTTCAGGGAAAAAAAACAAACAAAACCACTCAACACTCTACCACCCAGCAATTAAAAACATGTACTATATCCCATAATCCAAGATAAAGTGTAGGTATCTGCTTTTGCAGCCCTCGTGGATCATTCAGGGAGAAAGAAGAGGTTTTCCGCTCCCATGAAGATTTACAGCCTCAGAAATCCACAGGGACAGTTCTCTTCGACCCTAAAGGCTCATCCTCAAGAGCTCTCCATCCACACCGTGGCAAGGAGTTTGGATTGTCCTAGTGCCTCCCTCACGTTGGGAACACAAAGACCCCTCCTCCCAGAGTCCCCAGAGGGTTGGGGAATGAAAAGCCACCTGGGCCAACCTTCTATTTTGTGGGCTTGAACAGAAAGACCTCCTCGCTGCCTCCCCCACCACCACCCCCCATCCCCCGCCCACCAGGCTACCTGCTCCCAAATAATCCTAGCTGCCCATCTTCCCTCCGTTCTCACTGGGATGTTGAGTTAGGAGACACGCCAAGAAGGTCATCTGACCACCTTTCCAATCCTGGCACATGTTGCCGGGCTGCCCACCCCTCACCAGTCCCCACAACTTGCTTCCAAGTCCACCCAAACCATGTCTTGGTGGATGTGTGGAGCAAGCCCGGCACCAGGTGTTGTCTGCCTGGCTTTTCTGGCAGCTCGTCACACCCTTAACTCAGGTAGAGCTTACAGTTAACTGAAACCCCCAAATCCTTTTCACCTGTGCTGCTGCTAAGCCTCCAGGAGCCCATAAATGGAGAGGAGCTTTTCTGGACCTTAAATCTATCCCTCTCAAATTTCATCTTGTTAAGTCCGCTTCCTCTCACCTTGTAAGACCTCCTGAGATCCAGATCCTGACCAGCATTGCCCTGTGACCTATGAGCCGCCCCTCCCGGCTGAGAGTCCTCGGTAGAGCTGATCGGCATCTAGATCTGCTGACACCTGGGAACCTGGGCCAGCCAAGCTGCCCTCTGGACTGTCCCAGGTCCCTTAATCAGTGCTCTCTGGGCGTGGCCGGGGCACATTCCCTAACTCTGTCCATCTCGCGTCCCAGGAGACCTGATCCAATGCCACACATGTCACCAGCGCTAGACACATGGGCAGGACCAACATGTCTTCCCTCTTAGGAAGTTCTCCCGACGACCCACCCCTCCATCTGCCATCGTGGCAGCATGGGCCAGGTTTTAGAACCACATCACCGAGGTGTGCCTCTTAGCTCTTCCACCTTGTCTCTGACCTTGGTCAAGATACTGGCCACCTCTGTGTGAATGATCGAAGATGCTAAAAAAAAACCTCAGACAATGCCGGGAACATCTTCTCAGGAGGAGAGAGCCCACAGGGATGGACCATGAGTGGGGTGCTCTGGAGATGTGGGTTCTTGCATAGGCACAAAGCCACCCCGTGGGGAGGAGAGCCATTATCTTCCCAGGGAGCAGGATTGGAGGTGAACTGTGAGCCCTTTATCTGGGGAGGACTCTTCAGTTAATCCTTATCTGCCCTGGTCCAACATCCAGGGTCTCCCGACCTGCTCCTGGATTAAGTACCCCACCAGGTGCCTTCCCAGACTGCTGAGTCAGGCAGCCCGAGGGTGGCTGGGGGGCTCAGAAGAGAATCCTCAGGCATCCTAGGTTCCTGCTTGGCCATTTGTGGTCCTAGAAAATGAGGATTGCCCTTCTCCAGGAGGGTCTCCGGGAAATGATGGTGGAAGGAAAAGGGGTTAGGACAAAGGGCTGGTTTGATGGTGAGTTCTTGCCATCTGAATCCTCCTTCCTGGGGTGACCAGAGCCCGGCCCCAGTCGAGGGAAGTAGGTGGAGGGGGGGGACTTCTGTGACTGCTCCGGGCCTGGCAGCCATCATGGAGAAAGGAGGGGGCGAGGGGATGGGCACCTGCCCTCGCAGCACTCTGCTGCCCCGCAGCTTGCAAGCATGTCCTTTCGAATCAAAGCAGGAAACAGAAAGGGTTTCTTAAAAAAAAAAAAATGATGCTGAAAACCCTAATTAAAATTCACAGTGAGGTCTGAGCAGGCAGAGCCCAGGCCTGAGTGGCTGCCCAGGAAATGTGTGGCCCAAATGAGACGGCCTCCCAGAATTCTAAGAGGCAGAGCTGCTTCAGGGGGCCAGGTGCCTGCCTGGGAGCCTGGAATCCCTGTGTCTGCCCTCATTCTGCTCCGGTGCGGCTTCAGGTAAGCCTCCCGGCCCCTCCGGGCCCCTGGCCAGTGAGAATGAAAGCACTTTCAATATCCTGGTGAGAGGGTGGGCTGTGTCTAGGTGTCCTACCTAAAGTGCCTCGCACAGAGGATTCTGCCTGTAGAACAGGCAGAAATGTCCCTGTGAGTTTCCGAGCCGCTGGCGGTGCCAAACTGCTGGCTTGGCGGTGAGCAGCCCCCGACGCAACCCACTCCGCCACCAGGGCTCCTCGGCTAAACCACCAGCATCAGGTAAAGTGAGAGGCCATCCATCCTAGGGGGGACCAGCATTCAGAGCTTCAGGCTGGCCTCATCCTAGAGCAGTGGTTCTCAACCTTCCTAATGCCACGACCCTTTCATATAGTTCCTCAACTGGTGGTGACCTGGTGGTGACCCCCAACCATAAAACTATTTTTGTTGCTACTTCATACCTGTCAGCTTGCTACTGTTATGAATCGGGCCACCCCTGTGAAAGGGTCGTTCAACCCCCAAAGGGGTTGCGACCCCGCAGGTTGAGAACCGCTGTCCTAGATAGAAGCGAGCTCCCTGGCTGCTCACAGCTATCTGGGACTCCATCCCTCCAGCTCACAGGGACTCTAGGTGAGTTGATCTTGCAGCTGGCCCTTTAAGGCCACAGTCTTCCCATTCTCTCCACCCACCCCTCCTAGTTACTGCCCTTTAGCAAAGGCTGGGCACTTTCCTGCAGCCCTGGACTGATGCCCTCTGTGGGCAGGCTGGGGGGGCGGGGCTAGAAACTTTTAGGGGTGGGGGGAGAACAAGTGGCCTTTTCCAGGAAGCCGTTAGGCCCCACACAGCTCTCTGGGCTGCACCTGCTCACAGTGTTTCTCGTTTGGGCTGCAGTTCCTTACGAAGGTGGGGGCCCAAGGAGAGAGCGAGGGAGAAGAGGAAAAGTGACCTCTTTCCTTGCCCCTGACCCCTCCCTCCAGTCCCTGGACCTGTCCCAAGGCTCTTTAGGGGTGTGTGTGTGTGTGTGTGTGTGTGTGTGTGTGTGTGTGTGTGTTTATAAATGTAAATACTGAATGTTTGGGGCATGATTCTGTAACCATATGATCCTCTCGATGGGGTGGTCACTGACTTTCATTAAACTTTATGTCACAAGAAGCTAAGAGAATGTCACAGGACTTGAATGACAAGAAAGGACCGGGAAGGTTCCAGAAAGTTGGGAGACAGTTACCCAAATGCTCGGAAAAAGGTGTAAACTTCATTTCACATGCAGAGCCGTGTCATGCCACGTCTTGCAATATGGCCACCCTGTCTGGTCCTGTCCTCCCAGAGCTCCACCCTGGCACAGGGAGCCCCAGCGAGGCCAGAGCAAAGCTGGAACTAGGCTTGTGGTGCCTGGCCAGGGCAGGAGGGATATCTTCTCCATCTGGGTCAGGCTGAGCTCCCTGGCTCCTGGTGCACACGCCCTCCTTCAAGCTGCCCAAACTGGCACTGGTAGCCAAGGGCCTGCCATCCCAACAGGGCACAGAGGACTTGGGATTCAGCTGTGCCTCCAACTTCCCACACGGCCTTTCTCACTTCCCTGTTCCTCAAGTCTATATTGGAAGAATGGGACTTGTCAAGGAGTGGGGGGTGGGGGGAGCACCTGGGGTTTAGTCTTTCTACTCGCTGTGAGACATGGGGTGCATCACTTCACCCCTCTGAACCTCAGGGGACTGAGGTCATGCCGTTGCCACAGGTCCTTCTGGCTGCAAAGGCTGAGCACTCCCGAGTCTCAGATGACCGAAGACAGGGTTTCCAGAGGGTGCCATTCTGTTACCAGAACAAGGCCCGGCCCCGCCCCGCTGTCCCTCTTCCCTTACCTCGGAGCCAGCGCAGGAGGAAGTAGTCATCAGGATTCGGCAAGGTGGGCAGCACATCCTGGACATTCTCCCGAAACTGTGAGGAGAGGCAGCTGAGTGAATGGCAGGCCCTACCCTGACCACCCTCTTCGACATGGCAGACACTGGCAGAGCACTGGTGCTGTGGGGGACACCCGGCCGGTGCCCAGTGGTGGGGGGAAGGAGGGTAGAGAGTTAGACCCTGGCCTGGCCTTAGGGCACTTCTGCACCCTGGGCTGGGGGTGACAGCAGACGCTCTAGAACATGCCGCAGAAAAGGTTACCTTTTGCTTAGGCATCACTGTGTGGCCAGCACTGATTCTGGTGCAGTGCCTTGGTCACTGCTCACTCAGAGTCCCTAGAGTATTACTGTTCCCATTTTACAGATGAGCTCAGAGAGGCTGAGTCACTTGCCAAGGTCAAATAGCCCCCAGTTGGCAGAACTGGGTGGCAAAGCCAAATCTGTCTGCGCCCAGGGCACAGTCTTTCCATCCTTGTCCACTTTGTAAAGGAGTGGCAGAGAGGCTTGGATTTGGCCTGGAGTCAGGAAGAGGAGGAACTGACTGCAGGGGCAACAGGGAGGATGATCCCGGTGAAAGGAAGAGCCACAAAGATGGAGTAGCTCCAAGAGTGACCAAACAAGGGACAGGACCTTGGCCCCAGGGATGGCCCACCCATTTCCACACCACTCACTACTCTGAGGCCAGCAGGCCCCACGTGCTTCCCTCCTCCCCCACCCCCGCCAACTCAGAGCCACTCATTTCCCTTGGTCACTGACCCCACGGATCAGCCCCAGAAGGGACCGATGAGGATTGCCTCGTGCCTAGGTCAGCCAGGGATCAGGTCATCCCAACAGTTCCCAGCACCCCAGGAAAACTGTTCATGTGGTCCCAGCATGAGGCCACCCCTCACAAGGATCCTGCCCAGCCTTGTGTGCAGTCTAATCACCACCTAATCCCTGCTCTGCCTTCGAAGGTCAGCCCTAAACTCAAGCCTCCTTCTCCAGCCCCCCTGGGGACAGGCCCAGACTGAGACACAGGAGGAAGCCCCTAGGTCCTTCTGCCAGGACAGGGGTCAGCTGCCACACACCCCCTCCTTCCCAGTGAGGAAAACGACGTGGCTTGGGAGCCTCGGCTGGGAGGGCCAGCCCTCAGAGTGTCCACAAACAGTGGACCTGGGTTCCTCGGTGCCTACTTAAGGAGCATCGCCCCCCTCCCCCCCCCAGGGCCCGGGCTGCCTCGCCCCAACCCCATGAGTCACGGAGCTCCAAACTTCAGAGGCGGAAGGGCACCCTCCGCATCAGCTGCTCCCACCTAGCATTTCATCGGGGTCACACAGACCCACTGAATGCTCAAGGTCACAAGGCGACTTGGGGCTGGTGCAGGGGCTAGGAGCTGTCGGGCACCTTCCAGCAGTTGCCGGGGCTCCCACTGGAGGAAAACCTCCCGGAAATGGGAGGAAACCAGGAGCCGTGCCCCTGCCACCCCGGGCCCAGCTGCCAGCGCCAGGATGAATGTTGCCTTTGTGCCCACAGAGGCTCCGGAGCAACCGCTTCTTCCCAGGTGGCATCGCCAAGTGTTCTCTCCCAGGGCCGGCGAAGGGATGGTGAAACTTCCCTGCCCCGAGCCGGCAGGAGGAGCCGGGAGGAAGGGGCGAGGCCGGCAGGTGCCCGCCGGCTCCGCACCCACCGGGGCACCCACCTTGGCCAGGGCCTCCTCCTGCTTGGGGCTCAGGTCGCCGACTCTGCCGCTCATCGTGGCTCCCGCTCGGCTCGGGCGCGGCGGTTGCGACAGCTGATGGAGCAGGGACGCGTTCTCCGCCGCCCGAGTCCAGTCCCAGCCTTTTGCCCCTGCCTCCGGGCCCGCGGCCAAGCCACGCCTCTTAAAGGACCCGGGGGCGGGGCGCCCCGCCTCCTCGCGAGCCGACACTAGGTGGGTGAAGTTGGGGGAGGCGGAGGCCCGCGCGGCGTGGTGCGGAGAGCGGCCAATCTGGGTTCTAGGCCCGAATCCAACGCGCGCCTCCCCTTACCCCCGGCAACGGTCTGTGTGCTTCTGTAAGCCTCAGTTTCTCCAATGAAGAGATTGGACTAGATGCTAATGAGCCCTTCCTATGATTAGGTCCCAAAGGGCAGAGCCCCCGCTTCTAACCTCTGGCTAACTGTGGCCTTGGCTGTTGCTCCCGGTGACCCTTGCCCTTCTTTTGTCCTAGCCATCGATTTCCTGAGTTTATCATCACTGCTGTGGTCACTGGGGCCCCGAGGTGTTCAGTGTGGACAGCCAGGGGCAGGTAAGGTGGTGAGCAGGGTGCCAGGCTGAGGACACAGAGGAGACAGTCTCCACCCCACCCCCACCCCCGGTCCTGTCCGGCTACCGGGTGCACACCTGGGCCCCATGGAAGAGAAGACCTAGGTTTGAATCTGAAAGCCCCCATTTGCTCAGGGGAGGCTCCAGTCTGCGACTTAATCCGTCAGCTAAGCCCGGTGACAAGCCACGCTCCTTCATGGGGGCACCAGTGGAGCACACACCATTGGACACACTCACTCGGTGCTGAGCCGGGCACCCTCACCTCCGGAACTGCCCACAGCCTGCCTGGGCTGCCTTGGCACCAAGGGTTCTACAAAGCAGCTCAACTGCTCCCTGACCCTCCCAGGCCTGGGACAAGAGCGGGGTCTGACCTGGGGGATGGACACACAAGTTGGGATGTGCATCCGCCTATCGCCCCCTTTCATGGCTCACACTTTCCTTCTGCCTGGGTGCCTGCATGCCCCGCCACTGCACTCCTGCCTTGGTGGCAGCAATAGCCCCTCGGACCTTCCTTCCTCTTCCTATGAGCCAGGCCCCAGGCCCTGTTCCAAAAGTCCAGGAATGAGGCAGATACCGGTCTGTCCTCCCAAAGCCAAGGACCACTAGCCATAGGGTGTCCCCAAGGAGAGACGAGTCAGAGGTGGCTTCCTGGAAGGAGTGGTGCCAGAGCTGGGATGAAGAGGGGGTGGAAGGGAAAATCAGTCCGTCCGTCCATCCATCCTGTGCCAGTGGAAGGGCCTACGCATAGGCTTGGTGGCTGGGATGTGTGGCCTCAGCCAGGGCGGTGGAGGAGCCAGAGTAGGCAGGGGGACACTGAGAACCTGGCAGGGACCCTTCTTAGTAGCACCAGCCCTTCTAGACGATAAGGTCGTTGCCCACAAGCCCCCCGCCCCCAGCAGAGCATCCTGGACCTAGACACGAATGCTCAATGTGTGTGTGTGTGTGTGTGTGTGTGTGTGTGTGTGTGTGCGCGCGCGCGCGCTGAATGCAAGAATTGTTCCTGTGGAGACACAGAGACCGGTGTGGGGGAACTCTGGGAGGGAGAGGAGGGCAAAGACCGTTCAGACATCACGCAGCTCCCCTCCCTTAACACGGGGCTCAAACTGAGGCCCAAAGAGGGCATGGCCTGCCCAAAGCTGCCAGTGAAGAGCCTCGCCCATTGTCCTTATTCACTGCTGGGCCCCCCACCACCTGGGCTGTGCAGGCCACAGCAGGCAGCACCCGAGTCTCCAGGGAGTGGAAGCAGATACCTCCAGCCTCTCATCTCATCCAGAAGTGGGAGGAGGCAGAGACAGGCCACAGCAGTCCCAGTCGGAACCCTTGGGTGGTCTTCACTCTGCTCCAGGTGTGGCTAATCTGATCGGTAAATCCTACATTCCTTATCTGGCAAGCAAGCTGGTGAGAG